TGGGGTTGCCAAAGGTGCCCCTGGCCCGAGGTGCCCCCAGCTTTTCCGCTCAATTTTGGATCCCCTGGGGTCCTCTGGGCCTCGTGAGGGGTGCTCCGGAGGCTGTGGGGGCCTCCTGAGAAATCCTGGGGGCACCTTGGGCCAGGGGCACTTCTAGCAACACCCGATTTGGTCTCCCCAGGTTCGTCCGCATTCACTGGACGGTGGACGCGCGGAAACTGAGGCCAGCGGCGTGGAGCAGCCGGAGGGCGCCAGCTCTGCTGCACCAGTCCTGGCCAGGCCGATTTTGGGCCCCAGATTTGGTGTGCACGTAGCACCACGCAGTTGCGGATCAGGAGTGAGGGGGCGGGCGTGGGTGGGTCGCGGGTGGGTGGCGGGGCGGGTCGCAGGCGGGTCGCGGGCGGGCCGCGGGGGGGTTGTGTCGGGGCGCGGGGTGGGGGGGTGGGGTGGCAACGACACCAGCAACACCGACAAACAGAGAGGAGCAGACAGAATCTGGGCCACGGAATGCCCCTTCACCCGCGCACCCAGGGATGGGGTAAGACCGCCGGGCCCCTTCACTCTGACGTGCCTTCCCGCCCAAGCCAGGAGGGCGGCGTATACCGTACACACCGACGTTGGGCTCAGGCTGGGCCTGGCCAGGATCGGCGCAGGGCTGACAGCCGGCGCCCGCCCAAGAATGGGGTCGCGAGGGGGAGCGGGGCGGTCTTCCGAGCAGGGGGGGGCCTCCTCCTCGTCGTCCTCCTCCTCCTCCTCCTCCTCCCCCTCCTCCTCCTCCTCCTCCTCCTCCTCTCCTCCTCCTCCTCCTCCTCCTCCTCCCTCCCTCCCCTCCTCCTCCTTCCTCCTCCTCCTCCTCCTCCTCCTCCTCCTCCTCCTCCTCCTCCTCCTCCTCCTCCTCCCTCCTCCCTCCCTCACCTCCTCCCTCTCCTCCTCCCTCCCCTCCCTCCTCCCTCCTCCTCCTCCCTCCCTTCTCCCTCCTCCCCCTCCCTCCCTCCTCCCTCCTCCTCCTCCCTCTCCTCCTCCTCCCTTCCTCCTACTCCTCCTTCCTCCTCTTCTCCTTCCCTCCTCCTCCCTTCCTCCTCCTCCCTCCTCCCCTCTCCTCCTCCTACTCCTTCCTCCCATCCTCCGCCTCCTCATCCTCCTCCTCCTCTCTCCTCCTCCTCCTCCCCCACAGTTTCGCAGGAGGCCCGCCGCCCCCCCCCCCTTTGGCCCCTCTGCGCGCGTCGCTGTCGAGGGGCTCCGACAAGCAGCTGGTGTCGTCCAACTTCGATGTGGACCTGGGCCTCGGGCTGGGGCCCTTGGTGTTCAAGGTCATGCTCGCCACGCTCGGGGGCACCCAGTCCTTCCAGAAGACGTCAGGGGTCAACGCTTCGAGGTTGGAGGTCTTCGGGCGCCGCCGTTGGCTCTCGGCGGCCTTCCTGGCCTCGGGATGCACTCGGGGGGAAGGCCGCGCCTCGCCCTGGAGCCTTCCGGGGGTGCCCCCGACTATCGTCCCGACCGGCCGCTGGAGAGCCAAGCTCTGGGCCCGAACACCAGGGGCCAACGTTAGGGTTGGATCGGCTCGGGGGGATGCATCGGCCCCCGATCGCCCACGCATCGCCGAGCGGGGCCCGACAGGCCACCCAGTCCAGGAGCGTGCGGTCTCGCTGTCGGGGGCCCCTCGCCGATCTGTCAGCGACGCACCGCGATTCCAGGGGGGCGACGCCACCCCCCCTTCCAGGGGCCAGTCCCCCCCCCCACCGTATCGTTTCCCCGCAGGACCGGGGGCGTCGGGTATGTGCAGGTCAAGTGCGCCTCCGAGGGCGACATCAACACGCAGATCCGCGTCTCGATCGGCCGAGGCAGCCGCCAGAGCCTCCCCCGCGGCCCGTTCGCGCACGGCTTCTCGGACAGCCCGGTGTTCACGCTGCCGCGGCGGCAGGCGGAGTGGGATTTCTGGGGCGCCGCGGACGAGCAGTCCATGACGCTGGTCGTGAGCGTGGACATCGCGCCGTTGGCCGAGGCTTGATTGAGGCACGGTGGTCTTGCTTCGGCACGATCGGAATGGGTACGGAAGCAGTGGGCACGAAGACCAGCAGCAGTTCCTGCCCATTTTGAACAGGGCTCGCCTTTCGGCGTCGCCGCGGTCGTTGTTCATTTGAGGCAGAAGGCCGCCTGCCCAGCAGCGGCCGCTGTCGGTTTTGGCAACATTTGTTGTTGGGCATCGTACCCATTTTTTCCGTACCCACTCCGGGTGTCCAAATTGTTTTCTACTGCCTTTCTTTCCAGTCTCACTCTCAGGGTCCCTCTGCGGCCCTCTTCAGGTGTAAAGGTTTCCAGCTTCTCCTTGTCCTCTTCTCACCACCCGTCTCTTCAGATACTTTTTCTGCGCGGTGTTGACCCTGTGGTCCCAGGCGCTGTCACAGCGAGTGCCGCCACGCAGTGTTTGAACTATTGCGGCGGTGCGCTGGGACTGCAGCATCGCGCGGCCGCCCGAAGCCTCCAAATGGCCCTGCAAGAAGTCAGGATGGGTGGGCGAATCGATATCATTTTTGATTTTCCTCGAATCAGATCGCCTGCCGCGCTTACAGTAGCGGCCTGGCGGTCGGAACATATGCCTTCGAGGGGAGCTATGGCTGGAGGCGTCAGTCGCCCCGAAACATCAGCGCACCGGGATCCGAGCACCAGCGCCGAGCTCCCTTCTGGAAAAGGAGAATCCTGAGTCTCAGTTGCGTACCTTCGTCCGTGTCTTCGCGCTCGTCTGCCCGCTGTCGACGACTTTGTGGGGGAAAGATGTGGGACGCCGCGGGCCCTCCCCCGCTTCCCTTCCAGCGAATCCCATGAGGCCAATCAGCGTTCTGCTTTGTGTCCTCTCAAAACAGGTCTCACCCCCTTGGGGGCTCTGAGGCAAGCTGCCGCGGGAAAAGTATCCTGGCGAGGGACCCAACCATATGCAGTTGTGAGTAACGCAGTTGTGGGTATCGACCTCGGTGAACCTCTCTGGGGTCACGATGCGTGTGACGGGTGTGCCAAAATTGGCACGGGTACGCCATGCAGACGCTGCCACCAGAGCCGTCGGTGGAGCACCCTATGGGGCCACGAAACGTGCGAAGGGTGCGCCCGAATGCAGGGTGGAACCGCGCGCGGGCGCTGCCATTACTAGGGCCTTCGGTGGAGCACCCTATGGGGCCGCGAAAAATGTGCGGGCTGCGCCGAAATGGAGGTGGAACTGCATGCGGACCCTGCCACTGGGGCCTTCGGCGGAGCACCCTATGGGGCCACGAAGCGTGTGAGGGGTGCGCCGAACTGGAGGTGGAAATGCATGCGGACCCTGCCACTGGGGCCTTCGGTGGAGCACCCTATGGGGCCACGAAACGTGTGAGGGGTACTGTATGCCGAAATGAGGTGGAACTGCATGCGGACCCTGCCACTGGGGCCTTCGATGGAGCACCCTACGGGGCCACGAAACGTGTGAGGGGTGCGCCGAAATGGAGGTGGAATTGCACGCGGACCCTGCCACTGGGGCCTTCGGTGGAGCACCCTATGGGGCCACGAAACGTGTGAGGGGTACTGTATGCCGAAATGAGGTGGAACTGCATGACCCTGCCAGGGGCACCCTATGGGGCCACGAAACGTGTGAGGGGTGCGCCGAAATGGAGGTGGAACTGCATGCGGACCCTGCCACTGGGGCCTTGGGTGGAGCACCCTATGGGGCCACGAAACGTGTGAGGGGTGCGCCGAAATGGAGGTGGAACTGCATGCGGACCCTGCCACGGGAGCCTTCGGCGGAGCACCCTATGTGGCCACGAAACGTGTGAGGGGTGCGCCGAAATGGGGGTGGAACTGCATGCGGACCCTGCCACTGGTGGCTTGTGCGCATGCGGACCCTGCCACAGGAGCCTTCGGTGGAGCACCCTATGGGGCCGCGGGACGTGCGAGGGGTGTGCCAAACCAAAATTGAGGTCGGACCCTGCCACTGGGGCCTTGGGTGGAGCGTCCTATGGGGCCACGAAGCGTGTGAGGGGTGCGCCGAAATGGGGGTGGAACTGAGTGCGGACCCTGCCACGGGAGCCTTCGGTGGAGCACCCTATGGGGCCACGAAACGTGTGAGGATTGCGCCGAAATGGAGGTGGAACTGCATGCGGACCCTGCCACTGGGGCCTTCGGCGGAGCACCCTATGGGGCCACGAAACGTGTGAGGGGTGCGCCGAACTGGGGGTGGAACTGCATGCGGACCCTGCCACTGGGGCCTTTGGTGGAGCACCCTATGGGGCCACGAAACGTGTGAGGGGTGCGCCGAAATGGAGCCGGATCTGCATGCGGACCCTGCCACTGGGGCCTTTGGCGGAGCACCCTATGTGGCCACGAAACGTGTGAGGGGTGCGCCGAAATCGGCATGCGAGAGAGCAGAGGCAGGGAGGGGAGGAGGGAGAGGAGCGCGGGAGACGATGACGATGACAAGGCGGATGGGAGGAGGGAGGAGGGGAGGAGGGAGGGGGCAGCGGGAACAGGTGAGACGCGGGGCGCTGTCTCTTCAAAACGAGGACCCAACACCACAGGATGGTTGGGAAAAACAGTGCGTGGGCCTCAAGTAGCTCGCAGGAACCCGATCTGTGTGGAACCCCGATGCGTCTGGAAACCCATGTATGTGGAACCCAATGTGTGGGGCTCACTCGGCTGCTGACGTCCTTCAAGTTCTGAACCCCAGCCGGTGTTTCAAAAGCGTGACGTGCAGCGGCAGGGTTCACGTGTGGTTGCCGGGGGGGGGCTACAAATATCCAGGCTCTCTCTGACGCCTCGCCCATCGCAGGCGATTTCTTTCCCCCAGTCCCCGAGTCCCCCCCCAAAATTGGCCGCCCAGAGAGAAGGGGAAACTCGGTGATACATCCCCCTGGGGGTATTCGGACGCACCGCTGCCGAGGATGGACGCTCCCCCGTCGTAGATCCCCGCGCTGGGTCCCAATTGGTCCAGGCGAAGGCTGCACAGAGTCGAGGATTGGGGCCGCCCTGCCCCCGTTGGACCAGACTGGACCGCCGTGCTGATCTCGGATCGAGTCATGGCAGCTCCAGGCCCGACCCGAGGCTCACCAGCCGAAGCTCTCCCACGCAGTCATGGCCAGCTCCATGAAGCTCCGCGTGAGGCTTTCGGAGGACACGAAGCAGTGCTTCGATGACCAGGGCATCAGCATCGCTTGGGACAGCCAGGAGCTGCTCACCATCACCTGCCAAGGGGGCCGGGAGCCTCCGCTGACCGTCGAGGGGGTGGCCGACTGGATCGAGATACGGGTCGAGGGCATGTACGAGAGGCAGACGGGGGGTGATCGACTAGACGTAAGAGTGACCTTTTCGCCAGAGCGACCTTTGGTGCGGGCCCCACGGGGTCCCCCGATCGCCGAGTGCGATGCGACAGCTGCGTCTTGCGCGCTCCGGTGCGGCCCCCTCGCGGCTCCCCAGGAGCTGCGCACCAAAGGTCACTCTTGCCTACAGGGCAGTTTTTGATGCATGCTCCGCGTGCGGATCATGTATTAAAACATGCAGGGATGTATTATTAGAAACAACGATGAGTTCATGCATACATTCATTCATGCATTGATCATGTATTAAACATCCGATATGTTTAAGCATCCCATGTATTAAAAACTGTCCTGTAGGATCACCCTTGCGTGTAGCCGAGGTGAGGACAAGGCGCAGGTGCGGGCCCGCTCGATCAGGAAGCACGGGGCTCCAGAGGAGCTCCCCTGGGAAGACGACGCCAGTCGGCATCTCAGCGACGGCGACACGATCGTCGCGGACTTGACGGCTCTCACAGACTCAGTGGCCAGGAGAACGCAGGCACGGCCCCGCCTCACCGAGAGCGACCTGGATGAGATCAGGAAGGCTCTGCGGTTCGACCTGAACGACCGGGTCCTGTGCTTCTGTGGGCCCCGATGGCTCTCTGGCCACGTCGTCGGTTCGGCCGTGCCCGATGGGGACAGGCTGCTCCCGTATTTGGTCAAGACGGACCACCTTCCGGGGCTGCCCAGCAAGACCATATCCGTGCCGAGCGACCGGGACGGCGTCTGCACCCAGGAGGTCTGCTTCGATCCGGTGTCGGAGCTGCACCTGGTGAAGGCGGCCGCCACGCTCCTGACGGGCCTGCAGAGGCCGAGGCTACGCTTCGCTGCCCAGGACAGGGTGGCCTGCCGATTGAAGAATGATCCCAAGGACGGTCTAGAGAGGTGGGCCGTCGGGACAGTTTCGTGCATTTGGCCGCAGCTTCCCGGGGAGCTGAAGTGGGAGACAGGTGGCGTCGTGGGAGAGTTTCCAAGCGCCGTCGCCTACAGAGTTGATCTTAGCGCGGGCGGATGGGTGTATTGCCACAGGGACCACCACACTCTGATCCGTAGGGATGGCATGCAGCCGCAGACGAGGGTGAAGGGCATTAGCAAGCGGATGGAGGTGAGGAGAGCCAAGGACGGCAGCAAGGAGCAAGTTGACCACCAGACTGAGCGCAGCAAGCGAATGCTAGACAGCGACTCCGACGGAGATCTTTGATACCTATCGAAGACGCTTATTACGGCGAATCACTGCCGCCCCCTGCCTGTTGGAATCGCCTATGTGGCCGAGCGTTGTGGCAAGGGCTCTGCCAAGCTATCGGGCCATGTGTTCCCCCTCAGCCGTTGTAGAAACCGTTCGGGGAACACTTGGGGGAGAATGGTGGGGAAGATCAGGAGGAGGAGGAGGAGGAAAAAGGAGGGGGCATCTTGGGAGCCTCTGGGGGCACTCTTGGGGCCTCCTGGGAGCTTCCTGGGGGCCGTCTTGGGGGCCTCTCTGAACGGATTTGGGGCCCTCTTTGGGAGCTTCACGGTCGTCTTGGAGGCCATCTTGGGTGTCTTGCAGGCCTTTTGGGCTGTTTTGAAGCCCTATTGGGGCAGTCTTGGGGGGCCTCTTGGGCCGTCATTGGGCCATATTGGAGGCCTCGGGCGATCTTGGGGGGATTTTTGGGGCCTAGTGGGCCGTCTCGGGCCGTCGGAAGGCAGAACATTACGCTATCGAGGAACCCTACATACTTAAATTATGGCTGGAGTGATGATAGCTGAAGTGAAGCATATGAGAATGATGTTGGTGGCCGTTCTCTGCGCAACCCCTACGGTGTCGAGAAAGTGCTACGTCTGCTGAGCCCTGGACGACTGGCTCGGATAGCGGCCTCGCTCAGAGACCACCACCTGCGGACCCCCAAGGTTACGATAATATGCTACGCCTGCTACGCCCTGGACGACCAGCTCGGATAGCGGCCGCGCTCAGAAACCACGACCTGCAACCCGCAATGGGTGCGCGTGGAACGAACAGAGGTAGCAAGCAGAACTGCTGGGGAACGCTGAGGGGTGAAGGCCTGCATGGGCGTGGACTTGACGGGCGTGGACTTGATGGGCGCCACCTGCGCGGGCGTGGAAACGCCCCCGTTGCCGACATCGCCGACTCGCCGAGCTTTCACCAACGGCGAGCCATCGCCCTCTTCCGACTCCCCCGGCTGATCAGCGGGGAACCCGCCGGTGGAAGGGTTCAGCAGGTACCTCACCAAGCACTCCATCCTGGTATCGTCGCCCCCTCCTTGATGGAGCAGCTCATCGACCTGTTAAAAAGCGTATCGGGCCACCAATTCTTCAGCTGTCGGTGGTGAAAGTTAAATGCGTGTTTGACCAAAGCTGCCTCGCAACAGCGCGCATTATCAATACTAACCTCGACACCTGCGTCTGTCATGCACTTCTGCAGATTCAAACACGGAGGCGGCAGTGCGTCAATGGGACATTTGAGTGGCATGAGCGGCGCGGGGGGCCAGGCAACGCCTGCAATATTCGAGCAGATTCGGGCCAAGGTGTCGACGGTCCCGGCTGCCACGCATGCCGCGCTTTCCCGCCGTGGCACGCATATGGTGCCGTGCTGAAGTAAAACCCCCTGCGCACCCACTGAGTTGCCCCTGCCACGCATATAGGACCCCCCCTGCATGCCCCCTATGGTGTCGAGAAGCTGCCACGCCTTCCACGCTCTCCGACCCTGGCACGCATAAAGGCCGCGCAGAGGGACCACCCCCTGCGTACCCCCTCTGGTGTCGAGAAAGTGCCACGCCTGCCACGCTCTCCGACCCTGGCACGCATAGGGGCCGCGCTGAGAGACCACCCCCTGCGCACCCCATCTGGTGTCGAGACGGTGCCACGCCTTTCACGCTCTCCGACCCTGGCACGCATAAAGGCCGCGCTGAGAGACCACCCCCTGCGCACCCCCGCTGGTGTCGAGAAAGTGCCACGCCTTTCACGCTCTCCGACCCTGGCACGCATAAAGGCCGCGCTGAGAGACCACCCCCTGCGCACCCCCTCTGGTGTCGAGAAAGTGCCACGCCTGCCACGCTCTCCGACCCTGGCACGCATAGAGGCCGCGCTGAGAGACCCCCCCCTGCGCACCCCCTCTGGTGTCAAGACGGTGCCACGCCTTTCACGCTCTCCGACCCTGGCACGCATAGGGGCCGCGCTGAGAGACCACCCCCTGCGCACCCCCCTCTGGTGTCGAGAAAGTGCCACGCCTGCCACGCTCTCCGACCCTGGCACGCATAGAGGCCGCGCTGAGAGACCACCCCCTGCGACCCCCCTGTGGTGTCGAGGAAGTGCCACGCCTGCCACGCTCTCCGGCCCTGGCACGCACAGAGCAGAAAAAATAATACCCAAATCGTCCAAGAACTTGAAGAAAATCAGTGATTTCGTTTGACCTCTTCGGCCCCTCCTGGAGAACCTCTTGGAGGTCTCTTGGGCCATCTTGGAGGTCTCTTGGGGGTCTCCTGGGCCGTCTTAAGCGCCTCTTGGGGGCCTCTTGGGCCGCCTTGGGGGCTTCTTGGGCGAACTTGGAAGCATTTTGGACCCTGTTGGGCCGTCTTGGAGGCCATCTTGGATCATCGTGGGCGAACTTGGAGGCCATCTTGGGCCATCTTGTCCTCTTGGAGGCCATCTTCAGCCGTCTCGGAGAATTCTCTGGGCACGTTGAGGTGCTTTGCGGTCCCTTCTGGGTGGCCGACGCGCTGGGCGCAAACCCTGGGGGGAGTCTTTAAACCGATAGCCTCCAGAAGTTTGGCACTCCAGGCACTCCTGTGGCAAGCCAACGTGGAGCGGCGGATGACGGAGAGCGTGCGCAGCGTCGCGATCCGGTCGTCGAAGGAAAAAGGAGGGTCAGGAGGGAAAGAAACACACAGACACAATAAATCGTCGATTCCCAGGAAAATATGGGAAAATATGGGAAGTGGGGGGGAAGACAGAAACCCAGAAAATATAGGAAAATATGGGGAATCCTTTTTTTGTGTGTGTATTTATTTGTGTGTCCTGGGGCCCCTTCCAAAGAGGGGTGTGGGGGGCCCTGCGGGCCGTGCGGTGGTGTCCTTCTGGGAGTCCTGGGGGATCTTCGAGCGGCCATGGATTTGAGCCTCTCCCAGGTCAGGTTTAGGGGAACAAAAAGTGACATAAACACAAAAACTCTGAGGCCCGCGCGGATTTCTCGGATCGGCGCTGAGCCCCCCTCCCTGGCGCGCGGAGCGCGCCAGGGGCTGCGCCGGAGGCGCCGCCGGGGGGCCCGAGCGCCGATCCGAGAAATCCGCGCGGACCTCCGAGTTTTTATGTTTATGTCACTTTTTGTTCCCCTATGGTTGTCTGGCGCCGCGGGCCCCCTCGGCAGACAGGAGAGCGGAGGCGGGGCCGGAGGGGCACGAGGCGAGCAGACAGGATGCAGCAGGAAGACCGCGAGGCAGCAGTCCAGCAGCGGGATCCTTCACAGCCCTGCGCCCCCAGGGGGGGCTGGAGGACTCGTGCAGTTTTTTCTCATGGCATATATGGAATCGAGGGGTGTTTCCTTTGAGCCGGGGAGCTTCGCGCAGCTCGGCCTTTTGACCATCTTGCCGCTGGCTTGCGCACTTGCGCTGCGAGTCTTTTTCCTTCTGATGGATCTCCTCAGTGAAGGCTTTCAGAAGCATGTTCAGACAGATTCGGCAGATGTTCAATTCCCAGTGTATGAGCTGAGGGTGTGACTCTTTCAAAAATGCATTGAGAAGCACGCGAATCGTCGAGCGGACCTGGTTCGGATGCAGGATCGTTGCATTGGGACTGTCAGGCCCACTCGCCTTCGTCATTCGGTGCTGGATCCGCCTCCGTAATTAGCCAGCTTGGCTCAAGCCTTGTTTACCCAGCCTTGTTTCATACATGTATTCCTCCCACTCCGGGGTACCCAGCATCATGTTCAAACATGTATTCGGCTGTGGTGTCCCACCAAAACTGTTTTGCCATGCATCCTCCGACGCTCATTGAGTCGGGGCTTGATTTTCAGTCTTTGTGCGAAATCACAGCCGATGGTTTGAACAAGCTCGGCATGCCATCTTTGATTCGGTCTTCGATTCGTTCATGAGCAAACTTCTGAGCCTGACCGCAATGTGTAATCGGCGATGGCGTCTCGCCAGAACGGTCTTGCTGTTTATAGTCCGACACTCATTGAGGCAGGGCTTGATTTGTAGTCTTTGTGTGAAAGTGCTGCTGATGATTGGGGCAATCTCGGCATACCACCCTCGGTTCAGACTGATCTACTGCTTTTCATTCATGGGCACGCTTGTGAGCCTGACAGAATTGATCAGGCCATCGTGTTTGAAGGGTGAAGAGGTTGCGCCATTGCCTGCGCAACAGTCGACGCTGGCATGGACACACGTTCAAGACCCTGTGCCGAGTCGGCGCGCCACCTCCGTGGCACTATCGGGCAACGCCGGCAGCAGGAGACGTATCACAAGTGAGAGAAGGCCAGCAGCGTGTTGTCTCGTGTGACACGTACTACACATACCAGGGCCACCAGTGTATCTTCCAACCATCCTGTGGTGCTGGATCTTCGTTTTGAAGAGACAGCGCCCCGCGTCACCAAAATTCACCCCCGCTGCCCTCTCCCCCTCCTCCCTCCTCCTCCGATCCCTGCCTCTCTGCCCTCCGAACCAGTCAGCCATGTTGGCACACCCCTCACACGCTTCGTGGCCCCACAGGGAGCCCCACCGAAGGCCCAACTGCAGGCGTTCGCATGCGCCCACCGCGCCCATTTCGGCACACCCCTCACACGCTTCGTGGCCGCATAGGGAGCCCCACCGATGGCCCAACTGCCAGCGTTCGCATGCGCCCACCGCACCCATTTCGGCACACCCCTCACACGCTTCGTGGCCCCATAGGGAGCCCCACCGAAGGCCCAACTGCAAGCGTTCGCATGCGCCCACCGCGCCGATTTCGGCACACCGTTCGCACGTTTCGCGGCCTCGTAGGGAGCCCCACCGAAGGCCCACATGCGCCCACCGCGCTTATGTTTGGTACACCCCTCACACGCTTCGTGGCCCAATCGGGAGCCCCACCGCAGGCTCACATGCCAGCGTTCGCATGCGCCCACCGCGCCCATTTCGGCACACCCCTCACACGTATTGTGGCCCCATAGGGAGCCCCACCGACGGCCCAATTGTGAGCGTTCGCATGCGCCCACCGCACCCATTTGGGCGCACCCCTCACACGCTTCGCGGCCCCGTAGGGAGCCCCACCGAAGGCCCAACTGCAAGCGTTCGCATGCGCCCACCGCGTTCATTTTGGTACACCCCTCGCAGGTTTCGCGGCCCCGTAAGGGGGCCCAACCGAAGGCCCAAATGTATGCGTTCGCATGCGCCCACCGCGCTCATTTTGGCACACCTTTCACACGCTTCGTGGCCCCATATGCAGCTCCACCGACGGCCCGCATGCCAGCGTTCGCATGCGCCCACCGCGCCCATTTTGGCCCACCGCTCACACGTTTCGTGGCGCCACAGGGAGCCCCGCCGAAGGCCGACATGCCAGCGTTCGCATGCGCCCACCGCGCCCATTTCGGCACACCCCTCACACTCTTCGTGGCCCCATAGGGAGCCCCACCGAATGCGGTGCATACGACGGCAGCGCCCACAACTACATATGGTTAGATTCTTCGCCAGACTAATTTCTCTGAGTCAGTCGTTCGAGACTTTCCTGTGTGACGGCGACATGGGGGTGCGCCGAAGAGTGTGCTGCCGACAGTGGGCCCTCCATCTGTCAACCCACGGCGGGTGCGATTGTTCAACTCACAACAAGCCCATTTTTCCAACTGACTGCGGGGGCCCCCATGGGCGGATTCTCCTGAGTTCAGGGAGGCAGACAGCAAGGAATTTGGACGCCTCCACGCCAGCCGTTAAAAGTAGGTACTAGTATTTCTGTATTCCCAGATCCCAGTCTACTTCAAGCACCTTCCTACCCCACGAATCGATATGCCTTTGCTGTGTTTGGTTCCTCTCTGGGAGGGCCTAAATCCAATCCACTTTGCCTGCCTTCCTGCTTCATGCTTTTACCTACTTCTTCTGACCGACGCCTGTTTCGGATCACAAGGACAGCCCCAGGATGTTCGCCGCGAGCGCACGGAGTGCCTCTTCGGGGGCGGGGCCTGCGCAGACACGCCAGCCCGTCGGCCCACTCTGGCTTTCCGAGCCCTGGAGTAAGACGCGGAGGACAATGGGGGGTGGGAGAACAGGAATATCAAGAGCATGCACGAGGGCGTGCGGGGCGGCATCCTGCGTCCGATGCAGATGGCGCGCGCGGAATTTTCCACGCCCCGACTCCAGGGGCGAGTTTGGAGGAAAGTGGTTCCGACGCCAAGGGAGGAGGGAAGGAAGGAGAAGGAGGCAGACAAGGAAATAACGGATAAAACGGTTACGCGCAATGACATCCGAATGTCGCCAGCTCTTCGGGCGTAGGTGGTTCAGCAAGTTAATTCTTCCAACTTCCTTCTTCCTTTTGGGGGGAGGTTCATGTCTTCCCCTGCCCTCTTTTCCTGGGTCTGGAGGGGGCGTTCCGCGGGTCGTTTGAGGGTCCAGGATGGCCTCCAGACGGCCCCAAGAGGGCCCAGCTAGCTCAAGATGGCCCCCAATATCGCACAAAACAGCCCAATCTGATCCTGTGTAGCTTCTTACATGCCGCCAATAAGCCTCAATGCTGCCCCAAGACGGTTTCAAGAGGCCACGTAGCCTCCTGATCACCCCCCTGAAAAGCTACAGCCATGCGCAAGCTTGAGGCAAATCGCAAATGATTGCTTTGCATGTAGCTATCTTCTCGCGTTTTCGGTTCCGATGGGCTTTTTGAGGCTTCAAGAAAGCTCCAACGTGGCCCAAACGAGCCCTAAGAAAGGCCCAAGACTGCCCCGAGAGCGTCCAAGAGCGCCCCAGGAACGCCCCAACAGGGCCCCATTAGGCGATTCTTCTATTTGCGAAAGGGGGGGGGCGTGCTTGGCCACCCCTCTCTCTTTGACCGGAGGCTCCCAAGATGACCCGAGGAGGCCTTTCAGTCCCTCAAGGGGAGCCCAAGAGGGCTTCAAGAGGGTCCACAGTGCTTTCGAATTGGCTCCAGGAGGTCTCACCGCCCCAAGATGCCTCAAAGAGAATCCCGAAGCGTGAGTGCATTCTGCTACATATATCCCTAGTCACTGCAACTCTCTCGCTGATTTATTTTGGATGAGCTGGTGGGGATGCGGGAAGCGTCAAGAATTTGCCACTCAAAACTGACTTCGTATTCGGAAGCTCTTCCAAGCAAACGTACAATGCCATATGGACAAGCTTCTTATAATCGAACTCATGCACTTCAACGTAGCTGGGGAGGCAACGCAGTCAGCCGCGCGCTTGTGAATAAGCCATCGCTTCAAACCGCAGGGTGCAAAACCTAAATCATCATTCTGCAAGACGTATTTGTTCCCTTGTCTCGCTTCTGCTAGATTTCCCTGGGTGATCCTCCCCTTCTCCTTTTCCTCCTGTCTGTAGTCGACCTTTCTACCGCCTCGCCTATTCACCGCCACCTCGTCGCCGTCTAGCTGCTTTTCCCATTCATCTTATTGTTGTTGTGGCGTGCTAGTACGCCTATTGTTGTCACCATCTGAAGGGCTTCGCCATCTGCCGATGGCCCCCAGGGCCGCGTTTGACTCGTAGGCTGGTTGGTTCTCTTGGCGGCCGGCTGGCTGGCAGCTCGGCCGTCTGGCGTGTTGTTCTTCTGGGGTGCGCAGTTGGCAGCCGATGCGGGCTGTTTGGTGGCTGGCCGGTTGCGCGCGTCTGTGACGGGCAGCTCGATGCGGTGGCCTCGGGAGCGCGGGCCCATGGCAGCTTTCAGGGGTTCGAGGATTCGGGAGCGCGCGCTCTAAGCCATTCCTTCGGGCTCGTGGCCTCGGGCCCCTGGCCAAGTTCTCAGGAAGCGGCGGGAGGCCGAAAAGCGCCCCCCCGAACACATGCCCCAATGCGGAGGATGAGATTCTCTTTTTCTACTCCTTGTTCGTTTCTAATTCTTCGAGGGTTCTTTGGCCTTTTTGGGGGCCAAGATCCTTTCATTTCTGATTGGTCTATCCTGGGCCTCTTCCTGGCCAATAGGGGGCCAGGAACAGTTAGAAACGAGCACAATTAGAAATGAGCACGATCAGAAGTGAGCGACGTGTGCTCTTGAGAGGGGGATTGCGCCTTTGGGCAGCCTCCGCGGGGTGACTGCGTGGCCTCGGGGGCGCAAGTCTGCAGCAAGCTGACCTGGTTGCGATGTCGGGAGCGCGAGCCTGGCTTAGTTTTCGGGCGTGTCCCTCTACAGGGGGAGTCTTCAAAGATCGTGAAAAAATGATCAGGGGATTATTCTTTGAGTATTTGTTGACAATTCCAGGGTATTTTCGGAATATTTTTTCTTTTCTTCCAAAATCCCCCTACAGGCGGACAGGCCCGTTTTAAGAGTAGTTTACAAGGGATTGTGGCCTCGGAACGCCAGCGCATACGGGGGGAGGCGTTGGTTAAGGAATGCGCCCAGGAGGCTGCAGACCCTGGAGGATTCCTTGTCTGATGAGGGCGGCGGTGACATCCATGGCCAAGCTTCGATTGGAGTTCCACCGGCCTCCAGACCCTGGATTCCTTATCCAAGGGTTCCTTGTCCAACGCCCACACCGCAGTTTTTTGCGAGGGGTTGTGGCTCCAGGGGCGCACGCTTGTCGTAGCTTGCAAGGGTTCGACGCCTCGGGGGAGCGAGCCTTGTGCCATTTTCGAGGATTCTGGCCGGGGGAGCGCGAGTCTGGTGTGATGGTCCAGGGTCTGCGGCCTCGGGAGCGCCAGCGCGCCGCAACCGCTCCAGGAGGAGGGTGGCCTCAGGGACGTGAGCTTGACATACTCTGCGCGGGGCTGTGGCCTCGGGAGCGTGAGGTTGGCGTAGGTGTACGGAGGAGTGTGGTCTTGGGAGGGTGAAGATGGGGCAGGTTAACAAAAGAGTCATGGCCTCGCGAACAGCGATTCTTGTAGAATGTATAATAGAAGTCCGAAGCGAAAGCGCGATTCCGCGAGGACGTTTCAGGCGGGAGCGGGGGTCCCGGCTAAGTTGTGAGGAAGTCCCAGGCGGGAACCATTGCTGTTGTAACCCAGGGGCCACAGGCGCAGTTTGACTTTGTGGCTTTCCCTAGTAAAAGTCCGCGACTCGAGTGTAGTTTAGAAGGCTCCGCTGGGCGTAATTTCTGCTGGGTTGGGGCTTCGGGAGCGCGGCAACGCTGTGATTTACACGGGCTTGTAGCCTCGGGAGCGCGAATCTGGGGCAGATGAGAAGGGGTTGTGGCTTCGTGAACGCGAGCCTGTAGTAATTTACGAAGGAGTGTGACCGCGAATCTGCTGTATTTTGCGTGCCCCATGGCATCCACAGGAATTCAGATTACGTGATTTGGGAAATGGACCCGGGCGGTTTTTAGGCTTGCCCCGCCCGCGCGGTCTTCAATCATTGCAATTGTGGAACTAGAAGATATGAGATGGTGAATAATAGCATGGGAGTTGGAATTGTTGCAGGCTGCCAAAGGGGTTGGCGGATTAGTATGATGCCTCCACCACCTTCACCTTCTCCTTGCTCCTCTCGTCTTCAATGTTTGGTTCAAGCTCAGGGGCCCGTCTGGTTGACCCTCCAGCGGCACGAGCGTGCGACATTTGGGCAGGAGTCCTGGTACAGCCACTGCCGAGTCGTCGGGCGAGCGGCAGCATGGAAGGAGCCTCGAGCATCCCGACGCCGAGCAGCCTCGACGCGAGTGTCCTTCCGCCGAACACAGGCCGCCTCGACGCGAGCAGTCCGAGGAGCAGCCTGGATCCCGAGCAAGCGCTTGCGCGCGCGAGCGCGCATGCTGCCGAGGCGGTTGCCTGGCTTCGGGGCGAGCTCGAGACCGAGCGGAAGGAGCTGCAGAAGCGCCACGACGCTTTGCTCAGGGGCCTCGCCCGAGCCCTCGGGCCGGACGCGCGCGTCCGACATATCCAAAGCCGACCTCGCTCGTTTGATGGACCACCGCCTTCGCAGCGGCGCACGGGCAGAGGGCTACTCCCCTCCCTGCGGACCAAGATCGATTCAAGCAAGAAAGGGGCCGCTCGTATCCAGCTGCCTGAGGCAAGCTCCGCCGCAGTGCCAACGCAGGACTCTGCGTGGCGTCGCTTCAAGCACTGCCCAGGCGGCCGTAACATCTGATGGTTGTTGTCTGTACTGTGAAGGCCTTGCGGCTGGTGTGGCCGACCCAGAAGGACGACGACGACGACCACGACGGCGACCACGACGATGGTGACAACGACGAGCTGGTAACCCTGCCACAGGCTCGGGACATGGGGCGGGCGCGAGAGGGAGGAAAGGAGGGAGAGAGGGAGGGAGGGAGGGAGGGAGGGAGGGAGGAGGAGGAGGACGAGGATGATGATGATGATGATGCTGATGATGATGATGATGATGATGATGATGATGATGATGATGATGATGATGATAATAATGATGATGATGATGATGATGATGATGATGATGATGATGATGATGATGATGATGATGATGATGATGATGATGATGATGATGATGATGATGATGATGATGATGATGATGATGATGATAATGATGATGATGATGATGATGATGATGATGATGATGATGATGACGACGACGACGACGATGATGATGATGATGATGATGATGATGATGATGGTGGTGGTGGTGGTGGTGGTGGTGGTGGTGGTGATGATGATGCTGATGATGATGATGATGATGATGCTGCTGCTGGTGATGATGATAGCGATGATGATGCTGCTGATGCTGCTGATAGTGATGATGTGAGGAGGAGGAGGTGTTTTTTTAACGAGGTTGACCGGGTCAGGAGAATGGTAGTATTATCGTCGCCGAGCTTGTGTCGCGATCGACGCCAGTTGGCTCGAGTGATTGATTGTCAACGCTCGTGTCGAATGCATCGGATTTAGAAAATATCGTTATCGTTCCCGTGCCTATCCTCCCCGAGGATTTGCATGGTAGCGGAGCGAGGTCAACTCGCGAGCAGTGGCGTGCGCTGCCGCTGCCGCGACCGCTGTAGGGTCAGGAGATCCAGGGCATGAGTTGAGCACGCCACCGGACCGGGTCAGGTGCTTCAACCTTAACCCGGCCCGGTTCAGGGAGCTGTGCGAGGCTGACTTCTACAATGGGGACTACTGTTACGTGAGTGTCGCGTTGCGAGCCAACCATGAAGGCATGAAAGAGTTCATGGAGCGACAAACCGCTACCGGAATTCTAACAGTTAGCAGTGGAGAGAGCTATTTCCTACTGCTCATGGCCCAGAGAATGAGCTCGTTGGTACGTACACCGAAAACGAATCGAAACTAGCCAAGGAAATATTTGAACACCGAGAGGATCAAGTGGACGTACAGAAACATACATTTGACAGCGTTACCAAGATAGCGGAGTCCAGAACGGAAAGCAAATACAAACCGGCGCATTTGAGTAGCAAGCCGGTTAGCGAACACAAGGCCATGCAACAATTGAATATTGTCGCTGGTGATAGAGGCAAGTTCAGGGAATGGAGCGAGAATTCCTTTGACGACGCCTCTGCACAGGCCAATCGGTACCGCAAGGCAGTCAGCTGGAGACAATTGACGGTGTGTTAGACGAGGATGAAGACGACATGGCGAGGATGCTCAGCCATCGGTTAATGGCGACTGAACGCACAAAACCGTCAGCGGTTTATTAACGAGATGATGGCAACGAAGGCGAGCTTGAGTTTTCAAGTGATCGACTGCACAAGTTACATGAGGACCTGTGGTGCGTCCCCAACGACAAACTGGACGGGGTGGAGCCGCGATGAAACTCGAAGGATTTACGCGGACTGCAGGCGCACTCCAAACATTACATGTGATTTTCGGCAGTTACCAGCGTTGCCCTTTCAGGCAAGTTGAGCTTGGCCATGGTCTTGGACAAACCCAAGGAGATCGGAGACGTGGCATCACATATTGAGCAGTGGACGGCATTAGCAGAAACGCTGGAGAAGTAGGGGCCAGCGTGCTCGTTGAACCTGCCGTCCGCATCGCCGCGTTACATGCCGTCATGTCACGCGCCAGTGACTGGTTCGGGATCATGTCAAAACTACTGAGTCGCTGACGCAGGGGACCTATCAGAAGCTGATGTGAAATGCGAGGGGATTGGGTGGCCAGAGAAACATCGGTGCCAGTGTGGCCGGGGAAACATGCCGGATGAAGATGCAGGAGTAAATACTGTCAGCGAGAAGGAAAATGCCCCCCATGTTACATGCGCGGAGGATTCGGGCGCGTCGCAGTCAACCGCCGAGTGCAGGACGGAGTTGAAGGGAGGGACAGTTGCAAAGGGGCGTACCGCAGCGCGCGCGGCCAGCGCTCCAAACGGAGAGGAGGTCACGGAGGAAAAGGGGGCCGGGGAGCAGGTTGAGGACGAGGGGGCTGGGGAAAAAGGGGCTGCGTTCCAGTCTCCGAGAGGGGGCGTTGCGCTTGCGGGGATAAAGGGCGCATTGCGCCTGGCTGCCCCATGAGAAAGGGCGCGAATCAGGTTGAGTAGCCGCAGAGCGGAAAGAGAGTTCAACGGCGCCGAACATCTCGTTGGGGCAACCCCAGCCCCCAGGATGTCATTGCTTGAAACCTTAAGAACCCCCGGGCTAGCGGGAAACAAGCGCCTCCCGAACAGTGCCGACGAAATGCAAAAGCAGCATCGGCAAAGAAGCACAGAGAGCCAAGGGGCATGTTCAACTCGCAGAGCAGCTACCTAGGCACAAGTTCAGAGAACTGCGTGCATCGAGCTGACTTTGGCGACGGGGCTAAAAAGTGCATCGAGCAAGGGAGGGGCTGGTGCTCAAGTGTGCGGCAGTGCAGTTAGTGCAGAGACCGGGCGACTCTCCTGAAGTTAATGCACCCTTTCAAAATCGGCGAGAGGACGTGTTCGAAGCGGTGGTGGTTGCATTCGACTCGGGGGCCCATGGCACTGCGGGGCCCCCGCGGGCTGGTTAATACTTTCCTGTTGGGCGAGCGCTGCAGCGCCGCCGGCGGGCCCCTCGTGCGCAACAGCGGTCAGGGGGTGATCAAGGGCAAGAGTGAAGGGGGCGCTGAGGTTGCCGTGCCCGCTCAGGTGGCGGGCGTTAGCAAGGTGCTTGGGTCGACCAGAGAATTCTTAGATGCTGGTGGCCGACTTTTGCTGAACAGAGACGAGCGCGGAAGGCGCGATGCGAGCGGGCGCAGGACAGCTGTGTTCAGGAGAAAAAGGCGGGGGGGGCCCAATTCAGCGTCAATGTGCCCGGGAAAGCGGGGGGCGAGCATCAGAGTGGCCGATCGCAGGAAGTTGACGGGCGCGAAGGTTTTCCGAGGCAGGGGGCCCTAGCGGAGGACCGGTCCTGGTATGGCTTCGCCAGCCCGTGAGCCCTTCTCAGACCGCAGTTGTTCTTGGAGTTAATGATGCAAGTGATGGGGGTGATGGGGGCAGTGAGTTGAGTGGTGTAGAGGATGTGTTTGTGGGCGAGGAAGCAGAGTTACCGCGGGGGTGCATTGCGACGCAAGGTCATGTGAGGAAGAGCTGGAGTTGCACAGGGCACCTCCCCTACCTCGCCGAAGCTTCTGTCCCCGTGGCGCGAGGGGCAAGGCCGGCAGGCGAAACCGCCGAACAAAAAGTAGAGGAGACAAGAGGAGGAGTGCATATTGCTTCAGTCGGCTACACGTGGTTAAAGGGCAAGAAAGGAGACAGTGAGGATGATGTGAAAGTGACCCCGCGTTAGTGACGCGCTGTCATGCTGCGGAGCTAACTTGGGGCAAGGTGGTAATCAGAGAGGGGGCGTGCCCGTGCCCTGTTAAAGCAATGCGCGGCATGTTTGCGTTCGCTGGCCGCAGAAAAGTGACGCTTGAGGATGACGGTGGGCCAGCGCTAATCGCCCTCGGACGCAGTTGCAGCCTCGCGTGGTTTGAACGTGGTGGTGGAGTTCTGCCCAGTCGGAGACTTTCAGTCCAACCTTGAAATCGAATGGGCCATCGGAACAGCCCGTGGACATGATGGCGTCATGAAGGGCTCGTTGGGCCGCAACTGCAACGCTTACTCTGGTGAGAATTATGCGCTCATGTCGCGGTTGGCGTCGCGCGCGTCATCGGTCATAGGCGCGTTCGCAAGTGGCGCCGGCGGGGGGGCGGCCCGCGAGAGATGCAGGGGCAGAAGGCGTAATGGGCGGTTGCCCGAATTTGGGGGGCGCGTGATGTCTCGCAAAGCTTCGCCGAAGAATCGCGGTGGAAATTTAGGGCCCAGGTGGGCGAGTGTAGTTTGCGTCGGCGCTGGCGAAAACAGGGAGGAACAAGTCGCGGGGGCGGCGCAGGGGGCCGTTCGCGCCTGTGAGTTCAAGGGGAAGTGGGGTGAAGAGGAAAGGTGGGCCAGTGAGACAGTCGCTTCCGTGCTGGGGTTACCGTGGCAACTGGGCCCCGACGCGGCGGGCGTAGTTGCCGCGTCATTGTGCCCGTAGTTAGACATCGGGGAGACGAAGATGCGGTGGGCGCCAGGCCCATCCAGCCAGAGGGGGTGATGTCAAGAGGTCAGGATATCTAGCAATGGGGCCCGCTCCTGGATGTCATGGATGCAAGGCCCCTGCAAGGGGTTATGAGTCGCGCGGGCCCCGCAATCCTGAGCGCCGCCAGCGAGTCAATGAGTGGTTCGAGAAGCAAGGCGACCATGACGCGCAAGAGAGACTAGCCCCGGCGCAATTTATACCTGGGGCGAGAGCCCGGGTGGAGGAAGAGGATGAGCATGCCCGCGAGAGGCCCAGAGCAGAGTTGGCAGATACCTGGGGGCGACAGCAATCGGACGGCGTCGAACTTCGAGGAATAGGTTGTATACGCCTAGCACAGTTCCCGTTGCTGAGAGGAGCCGGGACAGGTTAAAGCGCGGAGCGGCGCGGAAGACTCGCGCGATCAACCACGTAACGGGCGAAAGACGCGAGTTGGAAGTTGATCGGCGGCAGGTTGAGTGGGCCGGTTGGGCCGATTGAGTTCCTGTCGAGGATGACGTAGAAAGGGGTGGCAGCATGCCGGCGCCGAAAATATCACCGCCGCTCTCTGCCGCAATTAATGGAAAAGGTTGAGATGGGCGGTGGC